TAACAATTACAAATTAAGAAACATTTTTCCCACTTTAGCCTTTATATCAATAGATACATTTGTATATGGAAAATGTAGGCTTATATCTTGCTCATTTAAATTTATTGTGAATTAATTTAATTATGATCCGAACCAAGAACATTTATTTAATGAATTCGCCTACGCTACTTTCCACTTATAAATTTTAATTAACCAAGAAGGATAACTTATAACTTTGATCCCAAAAAAGGTTACATGTAATAAGAAATTCATAAATAATTTTAAAAAGTACAAAACATTGTTTACAGTGTTGATTAAATTAAAATTGTTTTCATTTCTTATAAAAATGTTTGTTTAACCTTTGTTTTATAATTTTCGATTATTATCAGGCTCAAATTTTAATTGCCAACAGCTAGCTGAATTAAAGAAGTGACTTGTAGAAATAATGGGAAAGTTCAGTTTAATTAATACCATGTGCATGCTAATTTGCTACAGTTCTCTCCGTGTAGTCCTGTTGTTTTAATTTATTTAAAAAGAAAACAATTGATAATAGTACATTTACTAGGTCCAAGGCAATGGCGTCGCCAGGTCCTGTGTAACCCCCCCCCCCCCCCCTTCCGAAAAAAAATTACACGTGAATTATAGGCCTTTATTTTTGTAATGGTATACTTGTTTGAGAAACATTTTTTATAGAATAGTTCTTGGTCAAAACGCAATGTGCTTTCCTACACGTTGAGCGATATTAGTGAAAAAGCAAAGAAATAACTAAATAGTATTATATCCATACACATTTAGTATAACATAGGCTACCAACACCAATTAGAAAAAATAATAATAAATCTAGAACACTAGAATAAAGAACGAAGAAGAAGAAGAAAATACAAATGTTAATTTGAGATAATTGGCATTTTATCTTAAATTAATGAAGCAAACTTACACCATCTAATTTACAATTATTTCTTACTGGTGTCACCCTCCCCCCCCCCCCCCAACACACACACCTCTACGCTGGGAGGCTGTTACATGATGACATGTTCGATAATAAATTTAGCATTGATATTTTAGTTAGCCGCCACGCTCCATCATCAAAGGATTTATTGATTTGCATTTTTTTTTAAATAAGGTGTCAGGCCCATCCACTTTGGTGGGTGGTGTATTTCGTTCTGATCACTACATTGTTCTGTGAAAGTTGCATTTGGTGTCACCCCCTACCCCCCACCCCCCCCCCCCTTCCAATTTTACAAGTGGCATCAATTTTTGCCAAAAAAAATATATTAATCCTCTTAATATTTCAAGTAGAAAAATTTTTTTTATAGTAACTTATTAAATGTGGTGTCACCCAACACCGGCCGTTTATTCAATAATTTTTGTTTTGTTTTGGTAAACAGTGACCTGAATAAATATCTTGGGTGGCAACATCCCATATTCGACTGGAAACTTCTGTGCCTAGCCTTAAAATGAGTTGTTTGATATTGACATATGGTCATCAACACGTGTGTGCATGTTTCACATATCAAGTGGAAACATAAGTTGTCTCCAACGTAGACGTTGTGGTCTGCCAATATAGTAGTCCTCGGAACATTCTGCAATCGGCATTGCTTCTTGGGGTGAAATTTTCCGACATTTTATTAAACATCCCAATACAGGTAGCATTCTGAGCTTGAGAGCAAATTTGTTATCAAGTTGGGAACGTTTTTGAAGACCAGAGCTGTATTTTTCTGTATTTGTTTTGGTTAAGATCAAAGGCGTTGGGGGTGGGGGAGTGCTGAGGGTACATATGTCCCCGGGCGCCGACCCCTAGGGGGCGCCAAAATGGGTTGGAAAAAATTAAAAGCTCATTTTAGCTGCAGTTTTGCAATATAAATATAAAAATATATTGGGGGGGGGGGGGGGGGGCGCCAAATTGAAAGTTTGTCCCCGGGCGCCGGGAAGGGTCGCTACGCCTCTAGCTAAGATGGAAAAAGCATCCTTGTATCTAACAGCCTGGAATTACCCTTTCAACACTTTTTATCACAGCCATTTTAAGGCTAGTCATAATTGAAATTGGTTGCAGGTTTGTATTAATGACCGTTAGTTGCTGTAAGAGTGCTGTGTATGTTTCCTGTGTTTCGTTTTGAAAAAAGCATAAACACATGGAACAGTCCGTCCGTTGACCAATGCTTAGACTGTGTACAGACACTGTACAGTTGTGAAACAATGCAGCAGCTTTTTTGAATGTAGTATCCATAAAGCAGTGCTGATTAACATCCAATAACCTAAGGTTGTCCTTACTTCCTAACAAAAACATCCTACTTTTGACTCGGCACCAGAATCGTTAGTCGCTAAAAATTACATTTATTTAGTGTAATTTTTTGTTGTTCTCATCATCGTTATTATTGTCTTATATAAACCTCAGTCGGGGGGGGGGGGGGGGGAGGGGGTTTATGTCGCGGGGCGTTTAAGTCCAGGGGGTTTATGTCGGGGGGATTTTGTCCAGGGGGTTAATGTCCAGGGGTTTTTTGACCGGGAGCCTTAGACGTGTAAGATTTCCTGCTTGCCATTCTTCGATTTTCTTTCCTTTAGCATTGAGGTCAGGGTAACCCCATCTCTGGGAGTGTCTGTTCATGTCTCCCACAACCAGGCAATCTTCATTGTCTGGCAGAGAGATGCGGTCTAGTTCCATGTCCTTATCACCGTTTGTCCGAAGATTACCTTCTGTTAGAATGAGCTAGGTACTAGTTTTTTAAATTTAAATTTGTATATGACATTTTTCTTTGCTGTTTAAACTTTTTAAAATTCTTAATTTTTAATTCGAAACTAAATTTAATTGAAAACAGCTAGCTAAATCAAATAACCTACACGTAGACCAGTAAAGGTTCAACAATTTCATTTCATTAACCTTTAGATCTAGTGATTCTCAGAGGAGAAATTTTTTTTCTTTCTTTAATAAACGCAATTTTAACATAACATTAAAGTACACATTTGCATTTTCTGCAAAAAAATATAATTGTAAATAGATGCAAAGTATTATGTATAAGAAAACTATCCTAAATTAATGAAAGAACATGCCAGAAAGAAGTATTACTATTGTAAATCTGTATCAGTCCTCACAAGCCGATGATGAAAACGTTAATACTAATGCGAACACAAGGCAAACTGACGCTGTAAATTACATCTATGAGGGGTGGGGGGGATTAAGTTAAAAAAATAACACAAAATATAACAAACGCCTACGCATTTTAATAAAGTGTAATATTTGGATAAGTAGACGAACCAATGTATTAAAATGATTTCTGTTTGTAGAAACCACACAGCAGATCAGGGGCGGGTAAAGCTTGAACAAGGTTTCGGTTTTTACCTTGTCATTTCTGTGAACTCGGCATATGAAGAGATAGTGTGGTCAGCACTATGCCCAGACGCCTTTACTTTCCCTAACGCGAGTTAGGTACCCATTAGAGTTGGGTGGACTCAGGGACGATCTACTGACTTGAACCCGGATTCGAACTCGAACTCTAGCAGTCCGGTTCTCTACCGCTAGACCACTCCGTCCCAGAAACAGACAGTGGTAGTGGCATGTTTTCACCTTTTAAAAGTGTTACCTAATACAGTACTATCAATACGGTACTTTAAATAAGATACTATACATATGTTGTCATAAATACCTGTATTATAGATATATATAATGTTAAATGAAAACTAAAACATTGTTCAGAGAAAATAACAGTGCACTTCGAAATTTTGTAAAATAAAGGCCGATGGCTAGGACGTTTTAAAAGTTTAATGCATCTAGTTCAGAACCTATCAATTGATTTATTAATTCATCAGAAATATTCGCAATTCTTTAATTTAAAATATTCAAGAAAGACAACTCATAACTACAATCTAAAATATCATTAAGTGAGTTAATAAATTCATAAATAAATAAAAGGCAAACTTTTGTTCGTTTGTTTGTTTATTAAATGTATTAAAATGTGTTTTAACAACGATTTCAGTGTTAAAATGTATTTTTAATTTAAAATTTGTATTTGAACGATAACTTTAAATCAAAACAGCTAGCTGATTTTAAAAATTGATTTATATAAATAAAAAGGTTCACATTTAAGAAGGTTATTGAGTCATAATGATTTTGATTCATCATTATTACTTTATCGTATATACGCAGTATAGCGTAAGTATTGTATTCGTTTAAAAAAATCGAGATTTTCACAGAAACCGACGTTTTACACCTACCTGAGTCGGAGAAACATAGTTTTGGAAATTTGTCCGTACGTCTGTGTGTGTGTTTGTGTATCTGTAACCACGATAACTTGAGTACCTTTACAGCTAAGTTGATGATATTTATATTTACTGTTTGTAGAAAAGCACACCGCATATCAGGGGAGGGTAAAGCTTGAGCAAGGTTTCGGTTTTTGCCTTGTCATTCCCACCCCCCCCCCCATCACCAAACCGACACTGGTATTGGCATGTTTTTACCTTTAAAAATGTTTCCTAATACAGTACTATAAATACAGTAATTTAAATATGGCGCTATATATAATATAATAAAGTGTCGTAAATAAAGTATTATAGATACTTTAGCCCTTATAATCATAAATATGTTTGTATATGTAAAATGTAGGCTTTTATTTTGCTCATTTAAATTTCATGTGAATTAGTTCAATTAAATCCGAACCAAGAACTTTTATTGAATTAATTCGCTTACGCTGATTTCCACTTATAAATTTAAATTCACCAAGAAGAATAACCTACGAGTTTGCTCCCAAAAAATGGCTAAATGTACAAAGAAATTCATAAATAATTTTGATAAAAACAAAACATTGTTGACAGTGTAAATCAAAATTAGAATATATTTTATAATGTTATAAAAAGGATCGCTAAGCCTTTGTTTTGTAATTTTAAATTATTATCAGGCTCAAGTTTTAATTTGCAAACAGCTAGCTTATTTAAAGAATTGACTTGTTGATATAATAAGAAAGTTCAAAGTTATCAATTGTCGTTTCTTGCAGATCTTTGACACAATACTCCGTGTAGCTCTGTGATGAACATGGACGAAAATGAATCAGATTCGGACATCGAGGAGATACAAGAAGCTCTTGCAGCAGGTAAAATTCAACCAGGACTTATTGTGCAAGAGCAAAAGAAACATTTCATCAATAACAATGAGGGGCTAAAGGACAAAATTAAAGAATTTTCATTGGACAGTTTGAAATGGATTGAAAGATTGGTCCTGTCTAGCAAACAAAATGATGCCTCAGTTAACAATGGGGAAACAGATGGTGATCAGCTGCAAAATGATGATTTTAATAGGGAACTTAAATTCTACAGACAAGCACAAGCAACTGTTTTAGAGGGTCTTGCACGACTTGCCAAATTATCTGTTCCAACTAAAAGGCCAGAAGACTATTTTGCTGAGATGGCAAAATCTGATGAACACATGAAAAAAGTTCGTTCCAAGTTGTTAGAAAAGAAAATCTCTATGGAAAAATCTGAAAAGGCAAAGAAGTTGAGAGAAATGAAAAAATATGGTAATAAAATACTTAAAAAAACTTTTAAAAAAACCACGTTTTTCTTGTGGACTAAAAAGTAGAAAATAACTATTTACATACATTTGATGACAAAAAACGTGGGTACGTTCACCATCAAATTTCCCGACCCATCTGCCCGACCCACGTTTTTTTGTCATCAAATGTATGTAAATAGTTATTTTCTACTTTTTAGTCCACAAGAAAAACGTGGTTTTTTAAAAAGTTTTTTTTAAGTATTTTATTTTCTCCTTTTTAGTCCGTTGCTACACATGAAAAACGTGGTTTTTTAAAAAGTTTTTTATATAGTTTATTTTCTACTTTATCTAATGACTTGATTAAGTATGACTTGACTAAGTGTTTATAAATACACGGACTAAAAATCTTGAGCGACCAGGATTCGAACCTGGGTTGTCGCGGCCACAACGCGAAGTACTAACCACTATACGATCACGGCCAGCGCGCTCACATCGATTGGGGCCGAAGTAACTGTGTAAATAGGCCTCCAGTCTTGTCGGTATCTTTAGAAATCATGTCCTCAATTTTATGGTCCTTAGGGCGTAATTAAATTAAGCTAATTACGGTCTCTAATTGCTAGTTTTTATGATTGCATCTGAAATTGTTAGGCGAAAGTAGCCTGCATGCCAAATTTCAGATCTATAGAGCAATCAGAAGTGGGCTAATTTTCGATGTCAATTTTAACAACAAACACACGCGAAGCTGAGTTAATAAAAACGTGTTAAAAAGGTGCAAGTGGAAGTATTACAGAAAAGACAAAAAGAAAAGAGAGAAATGCTTGAATCTGTTAAGAAATTTAGGAAAGGACAAGTTGATAAGCTTGATATTTTTGATGAAACAATTGAGAGGCAACCTAAGCAACAAAACCAAGGAAAACAAATTCAAGGGAAGCAACAGTTCAAGCCTAACAAAAAGCGAGAGTATAAAAACAAAAAGTTTGGCTTTGGTGGGCAAAAAAAGAGGTCAAAGTACAATACAGCAGAGAGCTCAGCTGATCTTAGAGACTTTTCAAGAGGTCCAGGAAAAAGAAACTTTAAGAGCAAGCCACAAGGAAAAAACAGTAAAAGACCAGGAAAAAACAAACGAAAAACAATTAAGAATAAAAAGAAGTAACCATTTAACATTGCATAGTTTTTGTTTCTTTAATGCGATTATGACATGATTTTGTTATCCTTCAATGAATCACCAGTCACATAACTGAACCAATTCATTATTAGAATAATAATGAAAAATTTATATTTATTTAGCTTTTATTAAAAACAATATTTTTTTAAATAGCCACATTTCATTGTAAAATCACTATGTGGACTTATTTGTAAAACATAAAAAATAACATTTGAAAAATTGGGCATATTCTTGCATTAATTTCATTTTCCTTTTAAACAATAATGATTTCACTAAAAAGTGTTTGTAAATACAACTTAAGTGTTGTCAATGACATAATTATTTTACCTGAGCAATTTTTTTCACTGTGAAAGTAAAATGAATTTTTTTCAATGTCCTAGTGTTTGATCAAAGAGTAAGTTTTTTAAAGTACACTATTGCAACTCAGGTGTCCACACAAAAGATTTTGTTTCATGATGATATTCACTCTGTAGACAAAAAGATTAGTTTATAGTCCTTATTCACCATTTAAAGAGTGATCATTTGGCTGGTTGTTTTTCTGGTTCAGCTTTTAGACTCCATGCCTTGTCCATGTACTTTGTTATACTGGAGCAGTGACGATGAAAATTTAAACGTCTGTCTGATTTTTCATGTTCTATCTGTAAATAAAAAAATAATAAAAGATTATTAATTGCAAAAAAAAAAAAAAAAAAAAAAAAGTAGCTCTGTTGTTTTAATGTATTTATAAAAGAATGTAATTGAAAATAGTTCATACTCTTGGTCTATGCCAGGGGTCGGCAACCTTTTCAGGTGTAAGAGCCTAAAGTTTCAATTTACAAAATTTCCCAGTTTTTAAAGAGCCATTAATATTTGTTCTTCCATATTAAGGTATTTGATTAGAATTAGCAAAATAATTATTTGTTTATGGGTTTAAGTATGAAAAAATATTGATTCATATAAAAACATACACATGTTTTGCACAAAACATAAAAAAGTATTTCAACTAGTTCTTTTAGGATAATAAATTCCAATTATAAAACTATTCCTACCCAATTTAGAATCTAATAACTATAAGAATATACCACTCAAGTCAAATTAATGGACGGTAAAACATACAAAAATGCCTTCTGATTAAAATAACCTGATTAAAATAACCTTTACTATTGAAAATATTTGGATAAAAGGGCACTTCTGTAGTTGAAAGCATGGAACCACTGCCACGGGGCAGGCCACATCACAGCTGTGGGGCTGGGCTTTGTGTCCATGCAGCTGTCAGCTTTTTGTATACGCTCTACTTCACCTATTCTTAGTGTTTTTATTTTGTTTAAAGTTGTTTTCTAGTATAATATGTTTATGAGTTATGAAAATAAAATAATATCATTATTATGGAACTGGCGAGCCGCATCCTGACATCAAAAGAGCCGCATGCGGCTCGCGAGCCGCAGGTTGCCGACCCCTGGCCTATCATATAACTTAATAAAAAAATTTATGGTCGATCCAATAACTTAATGGACCTTTATTTGAGTGGCTGCCGGTCACGTGATCGGGATATTTACTATCAGTTTCCCTGCACTGCCGATTAAGACTTACAGTGAATGGATCAGTTCTATGCTGCTTTTTTGAGTACACAAACGACTCAGTATTGATTCATTAGTCCCCAATTTAAAACCCATAGTTATTTCTTCCAGGCATAGAAGTTATAAGCAAAAAAAATGTGTTGCCACAATTAAATTATAGATCTAGATCTAGAATCTAGTATAGAGTCTAGATCTAGATCTAACGCCGTTGTCCGCTCGGAACATATTTTGTGAGTTTTTTTAAATGGATTTTATAATTCAACTAGCATCTAGATTATTTAGTTTATATTCAACTATTAAAACATTTAGCTGCCACAAAATAGAATCTAGATCTAGGTTCTAACACCAGTCTAGACTCTAGACAAGATCTAGATCTAGATTTAACGACGTCGTTGTCCGATCAGAACAACTTTGTGAATGGGTTTTGTTTTGTAGTTCATCCAGTAGCGTACGCAGGGGGGGAGCAGGGGGAGCGGCCGCTCCCCCTCTGGCCATTTTCAGCAAAGTGGCGCCTTTTTGGAAACTTTTTAAACTCAAATTTTTAAACAATGATATTTGTTAAAAAATATTTTTGGTCGGCACATCTATGTAAATCACAAGATTTCTTTTCATGAAGCAATTAAGCATTATTGTACTAGTCTAGTAGTGTCTACGTTTACAACACGTACTAAAAGCTGCATCAGTTTGCCATTCTAAAAATAACCATTACGATGCATTGCAATGTTTAAAAAAAACCTCTACGGGTAGTACCACTTGGCAAGAGGGGTTTTAAGTTTAAGGCAACTGTATAATGTATTTGCTTACGAATAATTGAATTAGAAAATGTTATACATAAAACTTCACATATAATTACTTTATATTTACAGTTTGAATCGTGTGATTAATTTTTAAAAAATTACAATACAGAAACAAATACAACTGATGTGGCACCTCTATTTAAATTTACTGATGAGCAAACTGCGTAGTGGTGGGGAAATTTTGACAAGGTCAACAAAGTCATCACGATGAAGTAGTAGTATTCTTACAGTTTGGGCGATAGTGATTACGATTACAAATTATACGAAACAGTTACAAGCCCCCTCCCCCATGGATCCGTCTGTAAAAAAAAAATATTGTCATAAACCTCTGCTACTTATTTAAATCTATTTCTGTAATATATATTTGTGTAATATATATTTGTGTAATATATATGTATGTTTAGAACAGTCATCTAAAAACTGACTCTATGTTCACTCTGAGTTGGTTATCTCCGCCCCCCCCCCCCACACACACACACACCTCACCACCACAATTGTGTAGAGCGACATTAATGTCACACCTAGGTATACACTGGGTTGGATACACTGGGTTGGATAATTGACCTAAAATGACCGGACAGTGGTGAATGAAGTTGAACCCACCTCCCCCCCCCCCCCCCCAACCACCCCGAACTGATCTGTTAAGTACATGTAGAAAAACGCGTAGTGATGTACCAAAGTACCATGCCGCCAAAAAAAATAGCTTTTTAAACGTAAAACTCTGTGAATATTGTCTTTGCAATTACTAGTAAAAAGATGTGTGATCATTCAGTGATCTAACCCATAGCTACCACTAGGTTAAAAAATGAGCACAAAGAAGCAGTAGTTATTTAAAAATATATGATCTGTACCAAAAGACAAATATTTAGTTAAATGTAGGCTTTTATTCCGCATGTTATCTTTTATATCGAAAAGCGTGGTTTTATACCAACTCTGATTTTAAAAACTTTCATTATGCTGTAATACTTTAGCATTTATGATAACGATATATTAAATTATGATTATAGACAAAAACATTTTGTAAACACGAATAGTGTTAAACAATTTGATTATATTCTAAAGTAAATATTTATTTGTTTTGACATGTATAATTAAATGTGTAGATATATACATATTTATATTAAAAGAGTGATTATTTCCCCTATTTCACTTGTCTTAAATAATTTCCCAGGAATTATTATGTTAGAAATTTGTTTACAAGAATTACAAAACAGATTGTGTTACGTTCATTGTTTTTGGTTGTAGTGTGTGTAGAATTTTTTTTGTTTTTGTTTAGATTGATACAATTTTTGTTTTGTCGGACTACATTGTGTGTTTTATCTTATTTCTTCAGAGTGCTATTTTCTATTTATTTTACATCATAGCGAAGTAATGACATACAGCTAGTAATTATATATATATATATATATATATATATATATATATATATATATATATATATATATATATATATATATACATATATATGTATATATATGTATATATATGTATATATATATATATATATATGTATATATATATATATATATATGTATATATATATATATATATATATATATATATATATATATATATATATATATATATATATATATATATATATAATACACGTATATGGAAAGCGTTAAAAATTTGGCGCCTTTTTTTGCTCTTTTCGCTCCCCCTACAACGAAAACCTGGATACGCCTCTGAGTTCATCTAATCTAAAATCTAGATTATTTACATCTAGATCACATTTAGCGCTTAAATGTAGTAATTTTGTTCAAGTTAAATAGTACCAAACAGTAGAAAATGGGTTAGATCAATATTATTTATTTTAGTCCTGAGTGTTAGATCTAGATCTAGTTAGTTGCAAGTTCCTGTGACAAAACAATGTAGAAACCAAATCAATTAACAAAGTTTGTTCAGTTGTCTTTTCCGATTTCTCAAAAACGCAAATGCAACTTTCACAGAACAATGTAGTGATCAGAACAAAATACACCACCCACCAAAGTGAATGGGCCTGACACCACATTGAAAAAATTGCAAATCAATAAATCCTCTGATGATGGAGCATGGCGACTAACTAAAATATCAATGCTAAATTTCTTATCGAACATGTCATCATGTAACAGCCTCCCAGCGTAGAGGTGTGGGGGTGGGGGGGGGAAGGGGCGGGGGAGTTGGGAGGGTGACACCATTAAAACATTAGTTGTAAATTAGATGTTGTAAGTTTGCTTCTGTAATTTCAGATAACATGACATCTTAAAATAATTTTTTTTCGGAGTGGGGGTGCATCCGAACTGGTGACGCTAAAGCCTAGGACTTAGAGTATATACTGTTTTCAATTATTTTCTTTTTAAGTAAATTAAAACAACAGAGCTACATGGAGAGCTGTGTCGCAAAATCAAGAGCTAACCTATTGTATAAACCGAACTTTCTCATCATGTCTACAATTCAATTCTTTAATTTAGCTAGCTATTAGCAATTAAAATTTGAACCTGATAATAATCTATAATTACAAAAACAAAGGTTATGCAATCATTTTTATAAGAATTTAAAATAATTTTGTTTTAATTTACACTGTAAATAATGTTTTGTATCTTTCAAAATTATTTATGAATTTCTTTGTACATTTAGCCATTTTTGGGAGCAAACTTGTAGGTTATTCTTCTTGGTTAATTTAAATTTATAAATGGAAATTACCAAAGATGAATGAATATAATACATTTTCTTGATTCGGATATAATTCATCTGAAATTTAAATGAGCAAGATATTTTTTTACTTTCTCGTATATACGTAGTATAGAGAAAGTCTTGTAATTGTGCAAAAAAAAAATCGAGATTTTTACAAATCTCGACGTTTCACCCCTCACTGTAACGGAAAAAAATAATTTTGCAATCTTGTCCGTATGTCTGTGTGTGTGTGTGTGTGTGTGTGTGTGTGTGTGTCCGTGTGTAAACACGATAACTTGAGTACCGTTACAGCGAGGTTGATGAAATTTCATATAAAAGTATTTTATCAAAATCGTAGATCCGTATCAACTTTTGAGCGATTTCCGATAACAGGAAGTGGTACTTTTCCTACTTTGAAATTTTCAAAAGCCTATAACTTGAGTACTATTTCAGATAGATAAACGAAATTTCACATGTAAGTAAAAGATCTAATTCTCTACCTTCTGTTAAATTTTGAGTCATTTCCGTTAAACGGAAGTACTAATTTACGCTACTTCTGATTTCTCAATAAACTACTGTAAATTTCTAAAGTACTAATAATATTGCGCACTATTATGCACTTTTTTGTCTGTTTGTGTGTGTGTATGTGTGTGTGTGTGTG